GTACAAATTAAAGGAAAGCGAATAAAATTTCTTAAAAAGCGTGTTCGGATGTTCTAGGAGTATTCATGTGCAAAGATGTGCTAGCGCCAATCGCTCCCATTTTCCACATATATGGCTAAGTGATGTCGGGTTCACGCGTCGATACCCCTCAATTGTAGGAAGATTTTTTCAGCAGTGCAACCAAGAACATGAAAGCAGAGCCTCTTAAGAAATTAATTTTTTTATCATGGTGATAGTGAACAATGTTTAGGCATTGAAAAAGCAATATCTGTGACAAAATACAGAGGCGCAGCAGCTTTTTATATAAAAATAAGGACACTTTGCGACTGAAGTAGTGGAGTATAATAAGCAAGCCCCCGCCGCGATGGTCTGGTGGCTAAGGTACTAGGCTGCCGACCCGCAGGTCAAGGGATCAAATCCCGGCTGCGGCGGCTGCGTTTTCGATGGAGGCGAAAATGCTGTAGGGCCATGTACTCACATTTGGGTGCACGTTAAAGAGCCCCAGACGGTCGAAATTTCCGGAGTCCTCCACTACGGCATCTCTCATAAGCATAATCATGTGATGGTTTTGGGATGGTAGTCCCCAAATATCAATCAATATGATAAGAAAAGTCTTCTCAAAGTTAGCCTACTCGAAAATAATTCAGATGCACTGGCACATCTAGCAATGGTATTAAGCAATGGAAAATAATTCAGATGCACTGGCACATCTAGCAATGGTATTAAGCAATGGGGATGTATTCCACAACCATGCGTACGTCCCAAAAAATAAAAAAAATATGTGGCTCGGTCAAGCATTCTCGCTCTAGCAGATTTTTAGCCCGAACAGTAAAATAACGTTCTTTATCAAGCCGTAAAGTATTTAATATAATAACATACTGCGACTATTAGTTCAGCGTTTTCTAGAGCTGAAAGACAACATAGTGTGAGTTACTGCTATTATGAAGCAGCGTTAAGGCGCTAGGAAATGCGAACAGTTGAATCAGACTGGACAGTATGGGCACTCTTGCAATCTTGCAATCTTGCACTACAGCGAGCGCTGCGTAGTGCCAACGTGTTAACCCGCATAGTGCTAGTAAGCGCGAAAACGATTTAACATTTACGCTTAATCATAGTCAGGTTAAATGGCAGTCAGGGTTTTTCAGTTTGACTAAAACTGGTATATTCTTTCTTTCATATTCTCTCCTCCTGACCCAGTATGGGATAACAAAGTAGATCCAAGATAGCTAATAATTTGACCTCCAAAAACGTGCGATTATTATTATTATTATTATTATTATTATTATATTATTATTATTATTATTATTATTATTATTATTATTATTATTATTATTGTGTGAGAACTATGGTTTCAGTCGATGCCACATTGCCGTTATGCAATCCATCATGCATTTTTGAAGCATACAATTGCCGATCGCGCTTTTTTTTTATGAATGGTTAGGTAAGCGAGAATCACTTCATATCCTTACACGGGTCCCGGCTATATATTTACATGCGGCTACCGACTATAGAAAACGGAGCGCTCCGAAGGCCATGTTTACATCCCTCTCTCAGTCTCCCCATCTTAATTCGATCCGCACGTGGCTAGAACTTGTTGCTTCTACGATTTTCCCCAGATATGTTTCCCAGCAGACATAACTCAGCCATGATGGGCATTTCATGCGCGCGTGTAGTCGACGACGTCATGCTTGGGCCTTCCATCGGCAGCCAAGACTTCCCATCAACGAACCGTCTTCTCTCTTTCGCGTTACTTTTTCGAACGCCTTGTCTTCCAGAGAGCGATGTCGTCTCGCCGTCAACATTTCTAGTCCCGCGAGAGCGATGCCCGACCGGAAAAGGCAGAGAGAAAGAGAAAAGGAGAGGCCAATCTCGCGGCGACCTAGACCGCCAGCGGCTCCAGGAAATTCCTTCCGCACGACGAATCCTCGCCGTACGTGTCTCGGCCACTGATGTGGAGACCACGATTACGCGTGTTGACCCGACGGGGTGTCACTGATAGCGTCGCAGAAGGTAAACAGTAAGCGGAACCCGACTGCTCCGAACCCTCTTAAAGGCTCCATGACTGTCTGTATAGGAGAAGAAATGTCGCTTTAAGAAACCAGGAAGGGCGATCTGCATGCTCCGACCCTCGCCTCAACTAACGCCAGATGCTCTTAAAGTGACGCAAAAAGATATTTCCCTTGTGCGAATTCCCCGTGTTCGCGTATTCGTTGAGGGTGTGCACTTGACGGTGATTGTTGTGTCACTGATAGTGTCGCAGAAGGTAAACGTTAAGCGGAACCCCCTTAAAGGCTCCATGACTGTCTGTGTAGGAGAAGAAACGTCGCTTTAAGAAACCAGCAAGGGTGACCTGCATCCTCTCGACCCTCGTCTCAACCAACGCCAGATGCTCTTAAAGTGACGCAGAAAGATATTTTCCTAGTGCGAATCCCCCGTGAGCGCGTGTTCGTTGAGGGTGTGCATTTGACGGTGATTGTTCTAGCCTACTGGTTCGGCATAACGTGCTCCATACATGCGCCACTGTCCAGAGCTGTAAATCAGTATACCAACACATGGGCTGGAAGTCTCGTTTTCATTGGAAAAGTGCAAAAGTATTAATGACACTTACTGCGTCTGCCTAGACTACAGGGATCCTACGGAGAGAGCTTCGCTTACTGTAGACCGCGCCACACAAAGCAGATACGAAGGTAAAGGAGGACTTTGGTTTCGCGTCGAACTGGTCACAAAAAACAGTAGTGTCATTGAATCCTAGATATACGAACGCACTCTACTCTCCGGACCAATGCTCTAAGATGACCGTATCTGTATATGGCTCTACGAGGATGTATCTATCATTACTTTTCTTGACTTTCAGTCGGCCGCACGATGCAGAAAACTCCAAAGCAAGAGAGGAACGCGAATGTTCCCTGAAAGTAAGGCAAGTTCTGCCAGAGTGCGTGCAGCTGTTCTGAACTTTCGCTCTTTCGTTGCTCGCTCCCACTCGTCGTCGACAGGAAACGAGCCAGCATTATGCAGATGAGATGCGTGCAATGATAATGGCACACGTGCCGCCTGCAGGACGAAGAGCGAAAAGAGGCAGCTGAGGATGCAGCACCCGTTGAGCTCTGTACTTCGTTGAGCCTCCGGGATGTGTGACTGACTTTAGAGCACGTGCAGATAGAAGCCCAAGCATTGAAGAACAAGGAAAGTTCTGGTCCTTTGTAAACGTTTCCTGAATAGCGATTACCGTGACCGATGCTATGAATGCGCGATGCAGAACTCCCGGTGGCCAAATGTGAGCTAGCTGCTTCTTGCAAGTGAGCTCGTCCTCCGCATCTTCTTTGTTTACCCCTTATTTAGAAACCATGAAACGTCGCGGTTCGTTTTGGAGCCATCCGTAACGTGTTTGTAAGCTTTGAAATGTGCTCGTCATAAGGGTGTTCGTGTGAAAGGATTTTTTTAAAATTTTCTTCTGTTCTTTAAGAAACGCGTGTGATATTCCAGGGTAACGGGGGATTAGAAACTGGCACCATGACCCTCTTTACAAATTCAAGCCTACATTCTTTGACTGTTTACCAAACTCGAATGCTACGAAGTATTCTTTTCTTACATGACCAAAGGCTTAGAAAAACACCAGCATTGAAAAAAGAATGGAGTAGAGAGTGAGTCAGTGGAGCGTTATCTGCCTCGAGAAAAATGATACCCAGACTTCAGAAAAGAAAGATTCTATTTCAGTGAAACAAAAAGCTCGGAAATATTAAGAAACAGCTTCTAGAAATGGTGCGGGGGTGCCTGTGGACCTTGAGAAAAACCATTACTTTGCTGCGCGCGACAACGCGAGTTTCCGTTTACATCTGTCGCATGGCACTGGTGCTTGGTGTAGGTTCAGATTGATTGATGGGGCACTGGACGCAATTTTTTAGAGTTCTTCTCGCTGCTCACCATACACCTATAATAATATCTCCGTTTGGACAAGAACGTTGCGAGTGGCAGTCTGGCTTCTTACAGATGCATGGTTAGTAATAAATTTACCAGTTTTTTTTGGTGTGTGATTACCGTTACGCCTTATTCATAATAGCTCGAATCGCTGGCGTCGGAATGGTTGAAAGGAACTGGGGAATATTCGGCCATTTTTTTAATTGTTTCATTGACTGGGTGTTCGATTTCAATAACAGCGTGTCTGGCAACAAGTTTGGTTGGTATTTGCTCTTAGGGATTATTCAAACTTCAAGACTTGTTATGAATTCAAGCAGCGATTTTGACATATTATTCTCAGTTGTCTTGATACCAGCAATGTGTCGTGATCCTTGATAATATTAGCAGAACTTTCTGGCCTATACCCTAATATCACAGTGGTCAGGATGGTTGGATTAGCAAGGCAACCTTTCATTTTATCGGAAAGAGAGTATGTGAAGCTGGCATTAAGCCACCCAATACAAACAAGGCTTCTTGAATACGAAAACGTGCAAACATTTTTAAGTGACGCTTTTCCGCACAAGCTTTTTTTGCATGACATTACGATTCAGACTTCAACGTGAACGTATATACATGCATACACAATGCGTATAAAAAGTTGCGTGAATTTTTCACTGTTCTTGAAGCAGTGATAATAAGGAGACAACGACACTGCGTTAGTTCAAACTGTTCTCCGGTAAGTGATCCCACAATATATTTCAGCATGTTCATTGGTCTGTCCGTATTTGAAAAGGTTCTTACGACTGAGTAAAACTCAACATGAACCACCAACTGCAAAAGCATGGACGTATCAAATTGGGTCACTTTGTTCAAAGCTACAGCAACAAGAGGGCTGACCACTTTGTTATCGAGAGCGCAAGTATACTAAAGTTCTGAAGGCTGCATTTTTTGTCTAACCAACGAGCTCGGAAAATATGCTAAACGCTTATCTCTAAACAAGGCAGGTACTGTTGCCCCTTCTTGCAATGCTCTTGGAGGCGGCATATTAAGACGGAATCAGAAGGGTCGTAGAAAGCCGATGAGTTGCGAGAGATTGAATGAGTTACCTTAAGTGTGATCCGTGCAGGGAAGCGGCGTAAGGTAGATAAGCACGCCTGGGCTGGCAGCGATAGTCGTGCGAATCCGTGGCAGCGACCACCGCATTCTGCCCTTTTATACGCTTGGATGGTCATTGCGATATGCACTGCCCTAAAAGATGAGCGAACTACCAATCAAAAGCAGGAAGGTATGACGTATCTGTTATCGCGGAGAGCGTGATCCACGCGTTCGGAGCAGCTGTCGTACGCCTATTGGCCGCGTAACGCAGGCGGCGGCATAGCGTGACGCCATGAAAGAGTGTTTCAAGTAAACGCCATCACAGCTGCCGGCCGTATACCGGCTCGGCACCGTACCACTTCACGAAGACGCCGTGTGGGCGTCCCGACCGAAGTGCCTCCCGCTAAATTAAAGGGCCTCTGTGAAGTGGTGTCGCCTGGAAAGTATACGCGTGATCCGGAGACGCGACCGGAGAGAAAGGCTGGCGATTGACCCCTATACCTGCTGTCAACCGCAAACCGTCCACGCGCTGACACTTTTCGAAGCTGTTTCAAAACGGCCCGCTCAACCTGCGAATGGACTGAGACGGCGTCACATTGTGACGAGTCAGCAGGCTCAAATTGTGCTAGATCCTTGTTCGTCTTCTGCGCTTTCTAGGATGACTTAAAAATTCTCGAGATTTATGCCAACTGTGAAGACTGCAACTGTTGAGGGCCTACTGTGTTGCAGCAATGTTTTTCTTGAATTATCGACAATTGCTGACACAGAGGCCAAGGTTTCATTTAACCATTTACTCACTGTCCAACGCACATGGGGACACTGTTCATGAGTCATTACTCTTAGCCGTCGTATTAAGCTTCAAGGTTTATGTCGAACACGGCCGATTTGCTCCACAGCCGTCTTCACAGCCTAGATCCGTGTCGACAAGTTGCTATTCTATCTGGCCTACTCCGATCTGAGATGACTCTTCGCGGCCACATGTGGCTTGAAGTGCGTTCTACGAATGCCTTTACTTGCCGGAACGGTTGCGTAGACAATGCTGCATGTGGCCATTGTCGCGCTGATGAAACCATGGATTGCAATAGAATGGAAAGGTGGGCTAGTTGGTAATTCATGATGGTTCAGCGAACTGGGAGCGTGGGGGTAAACACAGACACAAAGCAAAGAAGAGGCACACAACACGAGCGCTCGGGATGTGTGCCTCTTCTTTGCTTTGTGTCCATGTTTACTCCCGCGCTCACAGTTCACTGAAACCATGGAACATGCTTTCTGTCAGTGCTCTCAATAAAGCTGTCAGAGGCAGCCTGCCGCAGCAGTGTTTGTGTGACTCGATGACTAGCCGTTTTCTGATAAATCTATCTTGGAGTACCGGAAAGACCGAGCTTCATGCCTGAAAGTGACGAAGGCGATGTTGAAGTTCTTGCGAGTGACCCGCCTCGTCAAATGATTCTAACACTCTTGTTAGTTTGTGTGTGTTTCTACTTCCTCCATCTCTGATTCCTCCTTTTCCCACTTTTCTGTCTTCTCTTACGCCTTTTGCAGTGCAGGGTGGCCAATCAAGTATTTGTTCCCCGGTTAACCTCCCGGCCTTTCCCAATCACATCTCTCTTTCTCTCTCTCTCTGTTAGTCATTATTATACATGGATGAACAAGCAAATAAAGGAGAATCAACAACACGTTCTGTTCAACCCGTCTAGAACTCTGTGCGGATGCAGGCAGGGTAAAGGAAAAGTAGTGAAGATGACAAGATGAGCGACAGACAAAACAGTTACGGTCGCGGTTTGTGCCTCCTCTATTCTGAATGTCACTGACCTCTGGATCTGATTGAAACGGCTCTCAGGTTACATTCCTCAGTGCCAAAAGGAAGTTTCTCTTGTGATATACTTGTTGAAATGAAAGGAACGTTAAGGCTGGCGGAACCTTGGTTTCGGGCCATTACAGCATCGAGCAAAGTTAGGGCATGACAGCGCAAAAAAGAATGCTCTGTTTTGCAGCGGATGTTGTTATGAGATCACTACCACGGTCGTGTGAGCCGTAATTGTCCGCTGCCACCACTGCCAGTGTCCGTAACCATTACCGCACACAAACAGAAAAAGTAAAAAAAAACACACTAATGACACCATAGGATCTGAAGTCGGGTCCCTTGCAAGCCATCCCAGTATTCTACCCCTGAGGCACGTTGGTGCTTAAAAATTTCTTGCAAACTGAGCCTAGGCACGCTTCTTGTCAGGAAAGGAATCTCATTAATATGAGTAATGAAGCGTTTTAGGATAGCAAAAGAAACAACGACATGTCATTTTATGCGAATCGGGTAACAAGTGGGTGGTCGAATGCTCCAACCCCTTTACAATAGCTTTAGCCATAATTCTTCATCGTCATCAGCCACAGTATCAAAATAGCATAAATTTTTTTGCAAGTGCATAGTGGGTACCAAGCTTCTCCGAAGCATGATGAAAATGGCATAGTGAATGGTTTATTACCACAAAAATATTTTTCATTTACGGCATAGTGGGTACCCTGCAATTATGCTTGTAGCAGTTACCCAAATAATGTTTAAAAAAGAAGCTCCAGAAAGGCTGGTCTTACAGTTTTCGATGCGACTGTGCTGCGCATTCCGCGCAGACTTGATGGTTTTTTTCTTGCATTATATCACAAAACCGTTTATAGTGATTGCTTTTTCAGACATTGTTTACGCGTGTGTCTGAATGCACTAATGACACCAAAGTTTTATTTGTGCTGTGTTTCTTACAATATCTCAATTTCAGCCCAGTTTCACATTCACATAAAATAGTAATGAACCAATTTGTCATTAACGCAATTATACAGACTCTATTTCCAGTTCTAGAATGTGTGGCTATTCTCACAGAAAAAAAAAACCGCCCACGTTTTTAATCACACTTTAAACATTTTAAGATGACAGGGCATCCGTGCTTGTGAATGCTTCCCGATTGTTCAATGTTCGATCGCCGTATCGTCGCCACTCTACAGAGTAGCACTGAGTATGTATGAGTGCAAATGAGATCACTTTGTTTTGTAAAAACAGGCATGACGTACCAGGGATCATTATCTACCACTGAGCTAACCTCTGGAGAAATATAGCTGTATTGAATGAAAACGAACGTTTATTTCGAAAAACACAACTCGCTTGCAGAGGAAACCTCACTTATTGTAAACAAACCGCCTCACCTCGCACACTTCCACGAGCTGACGCTCCTGCAGGATGCCCGAATATCCCATTAACTCTTCAAAAAATCGCGTCTTGGGAGCCTGGCTTCATATCTCACTAGTCTACAAAGCCTATACGAGCTATCATGAAAGACTTAGAAGCTTCCGACTTATGCACCCGGCTATATCTGCGGGAAATTATGTAGGCATACACGCCATCCTTTATCTCTGTATTTTTTCTTGCCGCTTGTCTGGTATTGGACTGGTCGAAGTCTAGTTCACCCATTCCTCCTATTGCTTTCTCTCTTTAGGCATTTCTTTTCACTATCTTAGATGCATGCCTATTGTGTTCGTACTTGTAGATCACCGCTTGAATTGCGCTTTATCTGGCCAATGCATTGTCTTGTAGCTTGTTACATAAATATTAGATATACTTTCAGCCACTCCTGGACTCATAGAAATCGATCGCTGGGAGTGTTTCACAGTTTTAGAGTTGTTGAAAACATGTGCCACGATATTGATTTTACTGAAGTTTTGATGAATCTATGGAGAGGGTGAACAAAAAAGAAAAAGAAGTTTGAGTCACAAAAGTAAGGGTACCAGTAATAGATCATAGCAGTTGGGAGTTTTGGAGGTGCTTTTCGCTATCATTACTACGCTGGAGTATGAGATAGGGAAGCCGTGACGTCACATTCACGAGCTGCGTATAACGGGAGCCCCCTAGATTCATATAACCGCGCGTATGAATGGGCTGGCGAGGACCTCTGAGTGGAGAGCAAACATGCGTCGACGAGTGGGGTGTCCTCAACTTAAGCACCTTCGCGGCTCACAGGCCCACAATCACTCTCGCGAATCGGGATCATTGATATAGACCGCTAGCACAGTCAGGAAGAGGGGTTTGGGGGTTCACCTCTCCTTATGTTATTGCGAATTTTGCATGTGTAAGTATACAGACGAACATACAAACGCAGACCGGAACATAGATAAAGGTATAAAGCAACATCTCCCACCCACCCGAAAAAATTTCTGGCTGCACCCCTGACATGGTTATAAAAGAAAAAAAAACAGCCTGCCGATTGAGATTTTCGAAAAAGACTAGCGATTTAAGAGAAAGACATTGATGGTGTATGATGTGAATAAAATGATTACACGTAGAGTACAAATAGCTGTCCCATTTTCAGTGTTCGACCACTTCTTTTCAGCAGTGCTCTGGAATACAGAATGAGTATTTCGCATAACTTAGTGTACCGATATGAGTTTTCGCCAGTGAAAAGGTTTGGTAGTGTTTGTTGTTTCATTGTTTCTTAGATTATTGGTTATTGAACTACGAGTACTTAGCGTCAGTGCTTGCAGATCGATTAGTGGTATGGGTATGATCTGAGGTACTGCCAAAAAGGGATTAGGTTTCGGAACAAGTCACATTCATTTCAGTAAAATAGGCAGTGCTACGCAATTTTAAAGATACGGCAGACAAGAACGCCACACCTAGTGACCATAAAAAAACTTGAGAACGTTGCATTTGCATCTAGCACATACATGAACTCGCAGTTGTTATATACGTTTCATATATGTGACGCTGCTGTTTTCCATATTCTTGTAAAGTTCGCATTTTTACTAATTCTACTAGAGCGTTCCAGCTAACTGCAACACAAGTTGTTCTCGCCCCGCCGCGGTGGTCTAGTGGCTAAGGTACTCGGCTGCTGACCCGCAGGTCGCGGGTTCAAATCTCGGCTGCGGCGGCTGCATTTCCGATCGAGGTAGAAATGTTGTAGGCCCGTGTGCTCAAATTTAGGTGGACGTTAAAGAACCCCAGGTGGTCGAAATTTCCGGAGCCCCTCACTACGGCGTCTCTCATAATCATATGGTGGTTTTGGGAAGTTAAACCTCACAGATGTATCTATCACAAGTTGT